CGGCAAACATTACAATATTTATTTAGATAATTTGAAAACCGCTCAAAGGGAACCGCATACGATCCCCGCATCTACCCGGGCAATACTCCATGTCTATACCAGCATAAGGGAGACGATGTGAACCGAATTCAAACATCAAACATCAAACAAACACTCATCTCGCTCTATACCGACCAAATCTTGCGCATTTCCTGCTCAAGTTTACCCAAGACACTACAGTCAATCACTTCCATTCTATCACAATGTCTAGCAACGACAAAGCCAGCTCCACCTCCACAAGTCAGGGGTGGCACGGTGGCAGCAATGGCAATCTGGGGAGCATCGGGCAACAAAGTTACACCGGAAGCAGCGGAAGAACTGATACCACTAGTTCGACCGTAGACGATGAGCTCATCTTCCCTATGGACGACATAAACGGTGGGAGCAGTAGTGGCAACAACTCGTCGTTGAAGTAGAACTTGCGTCAGTTGGGGTCATGGGGATGTGTCTCCCGTACACCTGGTAAAGGGGGTCAAAATGGGAAACAAGGCAAGGGAGGTAATTAAAAGGGGCCGTGGAAGGAGTTTAAAAATACTCTGTCATTCGCCGTCTACCGAGTAAATTAAATGCATGCATCAACATATCTTTTCCTTTCTGTCGATCCTGGGGGAGTTGTACAAAGGCTAGGAAGGTGAGGGATATGAACTAAGGCGGTGGAATGCTACCTATATCCATGAGTGCTATCCCGTTAGGCACATGGGGCCCTAGAAGGTGGGCGGAGTACGAACGGCCTGGGACGATTATCAAAAGCATTCATTACTGTTGACGAATAAATGTCATCCAATATAAACTTGAACGTACAGAAAACAAAGCACTCCTTCTCCTATGCATGCCCCTTTCTATTCAAATTCTCCAGAAACAAGGCGGCACTCTTCGTTCGTTCGTGATCGTAACCCGCGAAATGCACCAATTCTTCCACCGCTAACCTGCCGTATTTTCTTGCCAAGCTAAACTCGCCCATAGCAGAGTAGACTTCTGCAACAATGCTGTAAAAATCTCCGACCTGGGCCGCCAATGCCTCCTTATCACAGAGCTCCAATATTTCATCCACTCTTTTCTTGATTGCAACCTCGTTCCGTATCTCCGGGCGATCCAATTCGCCAAGTAGTTCTTGTATCCTACCCCTGCGGCGGTCCGAAGCCGCGCTTTCATTTGCCGATTGGCAAAGCGAGCACGTACAATTGAAGCCCCATTCCCGGATGAGAGATTGTCGTTGCTCGGACAGAAGGTTCAGGGGTAGATCTGTATCGCCTGTTAGAACGGGACTCTTATCTAACTAGCGAGGATGGGTGACTTGCAGCTAAATGTCAATTCTTCGCCCTCTTCGATGTCTCTATACGCGACAACTTCCATACCCAATGTCGTGGATGAGAACCGACTGAACATGCTAAACCAAGCGTTAATCGATGTCTTAATTTCCCATTTTCCTCTAGATTGGAACTTACTTGGGTTTGCATGCATGATTGAGTCTCTGCGATCCCATGTCAGTCAATGGGGCCCTTTTATAGGGCTAGATTCACGGCACTTACCGACACATCGAGATACAGGCCCGAATGATCTACCTCATTGATCAAGACCCCAAATGCATTCGTGTTTATGATATCGTCGACGATATATCCTCCCTTCGAATGAGCCAGCTTCATCATCTGCATCCCCTCTTTCGGGGGCAGCTGAACGGCGGCGCGGTGGAGCAGCTTCATGATATCCTGATGTTTCCAGGGTCTGGGATCCATGATCCGGACTATGACCGGATATCTGAGCATGACCACCTCATCCTTGCGAATCGTGCGATTCGCAATGACGCCCATACCCCTGTCCTTTAGATCTCTAACCTCGTACGGAGGCGGATCGGACACGACGAGCGGGCGACCCCTGGCCCAATTTATCCATTTCGGATCCGTATCCTCGAGAATGCCGACGCCAGCCGCAGCGACCTCCGGAGTAGTGACGATGCTGACTCCCACTTCTCCCCGTAACCTGGTGTACGTGAACACGCAGAGCTTAGAATCCGTTGCCTTTTCAGGCGCTATGCACACTGGCGGGAACGTCCAAGGAAGCCACGAGCGCTTCTCAAACGCGATTTCGTCGTCCACGAGAAGCGGGCATGTTGCTTCTACCGCCCCTGGATTCAATGGGCCTGCAGGGTCTGAATTGCATTGTCCAGGTGGCTCGAAGTTATAATTCTTGAGCCAATCAGGTACCTCGCTTGGTTGCGCATCGACGGCTTGGTATCCTAGCCATAAGACTAGAATCGGCGCGTAGAACCTCATGACCAAGTCGAAGAAAATCCCAAGATGTATGAAGTTTTGCGAGCCATTTTTCCGAACAATTGTGATGAAACGAAATAAGCGAGTAGCACATTGTTTTACTTTTATGGTTAAGAATCTTTGTCAGCCATTCCTTCAGATGTTAACAGCTTGCTACAAGAAGTAATCTCAAGGCATCTCTGAATGAGGAAGATGAGTGTAGGCAGCCAAGCCTACAGCGAATTAGCCGGCATGGCAAAGTGTAGATCCTCGAGCCCGTAAAGCGCCGCAACAATGACGATCATTGGTTACATAGGTACTGACCTACCTATAATTTGGTACGTTTTGATTGAAATCATGGTCTTTTATCCTTTAGAAACTGTTCCAAGCTAAAAACCAAAGGCGATAATCTGCAAAGAGGCTTACAGAAGAGTCCACAGAGTGCAATAGTGGTTTCTTGTTTCGCATATAATAAGCTAGAAAAATCTAGCTCGGTTTCTATTCCTCGGTTAATTTTCATCTTTTAATTGCACAAGTTTTGTTCCTTTCCGTTGTCGTGGTGCTTGTCTCTAGGATCTTCAGAAGAAAAAAGGGGGCTTAGGGAGGGGGGTTAAACAAAATCATTAAGCTAAAAGCTAGGTGCGTAGTAAAACATGGAAATTGAGAACCATAATTCCCCTTAACGAAGCCTTACTTCAAGTCCTTCAATTCCTTAACAGGCCAGACCTTGTTCCTTGATACATCCGGTAACTCACGATCCCAAGCCCACCTGTTCTGCAAGTCTGGCTCTAGCGTGCCTTCTAACATCCTCACAACATAATCCCCGATGATGGGGAAGAACTTCCATCCGTGGAATGACCCGCAGGTTGCGACGTAAAGCCCCTTGCTTGCCGGATGTGGTGAAATAATAAAGTCTTCGCTCGGTGTGACCGCGTCCCTGGACATGCTTAGTCACCCAATCTACGGGCATAGTGTGTAAATAGGGGGGATAATAGAAATCATCAACTTACCAGCAAATGCGATGCTGCGTAATCTTCCACGCCTCCCCGCGCTTCCCGAAAGTGATGTTGTTCGCGAACTCGATATCCTTCACGAGCGTATCTGGGACAGACCATTGTGCGTAGTCCGTGTGGGCCGGGGGCGCCGAGATCTCACGGCCCGAGGGCATGACCTGCGTGTTCTTGAATATGTATTGCCCCCACCACTTCACCATGTTGTCTTCGTTGAGCGGCAGGGTCCCATTACTTGGTCCTACATCTTAGGGTTAGTTCCCATTACCGGCAGCATATCAGATACCTTGGAGTGAAAAATGGAAGGGGACGGGATATGATAGTCACTTTACCTCTCTCCACCGGATTCTCCTGAATGCAAACGGGCATCTGTGCGAACTTCTTCACTGTCTCGTCGTCAAGCTGCGCCATGCCGGTCGTCACCCCAGCTGCGATCATCCTATCCCCAACACGAAATGCATCGTTTCCCGTGGTCTCGGAAATACCATCAAGCAGCTTCGGCGTAAACGCACCACTCGACAGTATCGTTTGCGCCGCCGTGTATTTCTCTCCTTCCGAAGTGCAGACCCCGAGACAGTTGCCGTCCGAATCAAACTCCAGTGAAGCAATCTCAGCCGTGACACACTTGACGCCGAGCTCAATCGCCTTCTCCGTCACGGCATGCAGGGCCCCCTTCGCATCCGCCCACCCGCTCCGCTCATTAATAAGCACTTCCTTAACGCCCGTGTAATCCGCCTCATCGAAGATCCCTCCGTACCGCTGCCGTGCCTCCTCGACCGGCAACGAGTAGACCTGTGCATTGGACCGGCCTAGCTGCGCGTAATTATCAAGGATTACCTGCGCGATCCCCGTAGCGCTGATCCAGAAAATGCCACTTTCATGGTAGAACGGCCGCCATAATGGGTCATCCCTCCAGACGTCCAGAGCGTCGAGCGCGAGCTGGCAGTACAACGGGTTCCGATACTCGGCGCGCACAACCTTATTCCAGTCCCAAGATGCCGCGACCCGAGATTGCGCGTCGTGCGAGTTGCGGTCGATGAGCGTCACCGATGCATCTGGGAATTTGGTGATCAGATGCAGCGCCGTCGAGATGCCGAATACGCCGGCCCCGACGATGATGTAAGAACGCTGACTCGGAGGCGGCATCGCGGCGCGGAGGAGGAAAATACAATGCGACAAATTTTTTATTTATGTTGAAAATCATGTCAAGATTTAGATGTGGTAGCACGCTACTCTAGCTCCGCATCTCCGTCCGATAACGCCACTGCCCGATGCCGGGCCCCTCAGCGGGATCTCCTCCGGTTCGGGCCGATATCTCGATCGGCTATACCTAAATCATAACTAGAAACAGCAGGAGGTAATTGAAGAATGCTAGATTTAGCATTAACGTTGTTTAAGCATATCTGAGATAACTACCTAGGTGATAACCCGTTGTTAGATCTTATGGTAGACTGGTTCAGTTATGAGATACTGTTCTTCTCAACTATATTTGTGCCACACGTGAAATCCAGTATTATCAGGACGATTCGTCAGTAACCTCGTTTTGACACTCTGTATTCTTTCACATGTTTAGGGGCTACCTATCTGGGTACCTACCTCTTTATCACTATCTAACTGGTAGGACCCCGAAGTATAATTTTTATGATCAAACGACAGTCCAACAATCAACATGAACAACATGAGCCACAATCATAGCTTGGTCTGTGGTCGGATGGTGTAGTGGTTATCACGTCAGTTTAACACTCTGAAGGTCCCCAGTTCGAACCTGGGTCCGATCAAACAGTTTGTCTCTTCACATCAGGTATAAGACATCATCTTACGCTGTCATGTTTCTTTTTCTCGCTAAGTACTTCAGGTGTGTCGCCAATATGCAACGTGGGAATGTGTATCTGGAGCACCAGGACCTCCTAGCAAGCCACTTCACTAGAGTAGTAATCGTACTCAGGGCGTGACAGAATGCTACGTTCCTTGAACTGGACGAGTTGATGCCTGTCTCCTTTTCTATATTCCGTCACTTTCATAATATTTTCCTTTCAGCATCTAATTATCACCAAGTTCTTAACACAATTGGGACCACTCTGTAACGTCATAGTAGTCGTAAAAGAAAAAGGGGGGAGACTCAATTCAGGTTAGCAAATATGGTAACGTCTAGGGGCGAAGAGAAACAGTATTCCTAGTCGTAATCATCCATTGTGATAAGTTTTCTCCAAGAATCTAGATTTAACCCAGGAAAAAGCTTAGTCTTGATATTGTCGTAAATCTTAGAACTGTTTTGACAATAGACATCTTAACACTGCGAGGTCTTTCCCTGGGCTTAAGATTTCTTCATTATACCCCCTGGATCTCCTTGAGCCATTCTACACCATTAAAGGACCTAAAACTACGAGTAAAGTTTATTCAGTATCTGATAATAGTCTAGACTTAAAAACTTAGGTATCTCTTACCATTCGCATACCTTCCCACGAGTATTCGAATTCGGCACCAGGCGTTTATCTTGTTACATAGAATTGATCTAGCGTCACAAGATATTGCGATGAAAACTGTTTAACATCAACATACGGGGAGAGCAGTGGGCAAATGATATACGAATAAATAGAGAACATGTTTTATTATTATCTTTATGATGATTGAGCAGGTCTGGAGTAAGGGGTTATGAAAGGTTAGTTTCAAAAAAACCGTACCTAATATCTTACCAATTTCAAGTAGTCGGAACAAAGACTATGAAAGTTGACTGGTCAGGCTTCTTCAAATCGCTATTCGATATAGTATCTGAGGTCTCAAGGCGTATCAATAGATAAATTAGGGTCTCCGTCGAAGAAAATAGGGGTTCAGTGTAATAACACTGTACGGAGCGAGGAACATCACCTCTTCATTTCGCGAGGGAAGGAGCGCCCGAAGAACGCGTCGTCCCCCTCCGGGCCAACCGCTGCCTCCCCCACCCAACCAAAAAACCGCCTGCCGACCAGAAGGCTCATATAGCCAAGTAACAGCAACAACTTTCAGCAATTCCCCGCAAAAAGGACGTATCCCTGGGTGACCTGTTGCTAGAAAAAACCACCACTGCA